ACGACATTATGATAGATTTGCGGATATATAAACTTATCAAATACCTGGAACAAATAACATTTACTTGCAGGTAGTATATATTTTTCTGTGTGTAGAACTATTATAGAACTCTCGGGCGCTTAAAATCGGGCAAAAAGACATAATAAAATTTGCGGAGGACAAAGTGGCATCTCAGTTTGTCCGAGCCGATTTTTTGCTTTAAAGGCAATTTGTTTGATGTATCAGGAACCCTAGAACTATTAAAAAGGAAGTCGGAACTTCCAACAGTTAACGAGTTATCGCGAAATGAGATGCTAGCTTCACACACATTACTGCAGATTAACTTTATCTCGGCTTAAATTACTTCTTATCTTTTTTCTAATTTTTAAAGCTAGAAACAGATATAAAGTGAGTTGAACCGAGATTAAAGTTAATCTGCGTTGGTAGGAACGCGGGCATTAATTGTTAAACAGCTCAGTGAATAATAACCGTAGAGAAATTTACAGAGAAACTTTCGCCTCAGAATTTTACACCCTCTTTTTACCCCCGTTAATGGCTAATTATGAGTTTTGGAGGAAACATCCTGTATAGTAAATATAGTTACATTCCTATAGGTAACGATTTCATGAGGATGTAATGAACGGACTATTTTGCGACACAAGAGTAAAAATGAAATTTTTCCTCGAACAGCAAGTGCTTGTACACTTTTTGAATTAAGCGTCAAATACGTTACTCATCCACGCGTTTAAATTAAAATATTACCGCGCTCAGCGTGTATCATTTATTCAATTGCGATGGATTATCTCATATATGTTAACAACTTTGAAGCGAGCTTCTGTTATTCTAATAAATACATCATTCAACGCATGGGAATTCCGAATGACTTGTATAATATTCAGAATAAATGTCCGTATTACAAATAAAAACGTTGACGTCAGACGTTGCACGCATACGTAATGATGATCGACGAGTCACGTGTATCATCTTATCGGCAGTATCACAATTTGACGCAGATTGAGATCTAAACTCAAGGTTGTAATTTCAATTACAATTCGAAGGTGCCTCGTTGATCGAAAGCGTGGAGTCTGGGATTTATAAAAATTAGAATATCAATTTACGAAATGCATTTGACGTAGATCTAAGCGAAAGCAATTTCACGTGACTGCCTGGCAAGGACTTCGATCATTATCGTCAATAGCGTCGCTCGGAAGCAACAAAGCTGCTACGAGGGTACGATCGGCTTTCCTAAATTTAAATCGCCGAGCTGGTCGCGTCATTCTTGGGCCATCTGGGCGATTTGTAATATTAATTAACACAGATTTATCGAATCGCCGAGCTGCAGATGCGGGCGCGGGCAAATAGAAATAGCGTGAAGATCACCGACTCACACTGCTAGTAACTGCCTATAGTTATGCTCTTGCAGGGTCGCGTTCGGCCGGGGACACTACCGCGACGATAAGCGTTGCGCGCACCGTAGTGGAAAATAACCAAAAAAAGAGAGAAAGAATAATGATTACATAACGGTCATAATACGAGCGAATTCAAGCGAGCACAATGGGTACCGCGCGACTGGGCGCGCGTCTCGTACTATCGCGGGCTTTACGACTTCGCCGCTGGGTCCGGTTCAACGTGGCGTGTGGAACGAGCCAACGTGGGCCAACAATGCAATACAATGAGCCACGAGCTCGACGACGCGGCGACAGGAGAGGAGAAACGACAAGCTTGCTTATTGTACGCGCGGCAGATGATGCTCTTTCGAATGAACCCAGCGTGTCAGGTATGCGGATCGACGTTGCGGCGGTGGTCGAGCTGGTGTCAGTTACGCGAGCGACTAGCGGAGATAACTATTAGCAGCACACACACACTCTCTCTCTCTCTCTCTCTCTCTCTCTCTCTCTCTCTCTCTCTCTCTCTCTTCTCTTTACGCGGGAAGTCCGTAGATAAAATTCCTGCGAAAGACGACACGTCGAGAAGCGCCCACGCGAAATAGACGAAGCTCCTCGCGATCCCCGTCCTTGGCTCAGGGTACAATAGATAATACAGTAAATAGGGGTGTGTCTTCGTAGGGAGGTAGGCATTAAGACGCCCCGCGTAATAACTGACTTCCTTTATTCTCTCATTTGTAATAACTTTTGGACGAGAAAAATAATGGGCGAGAACTAGACCGGGATATCCGAATCTGGGACCTTCCGCTTGCCGGGCGACTGCTCTTCTTACTGAACTATCCAAGGGAGTAGCTGCACTAGCTAAAGTGTTGTCCCACCGATTACATGATTTCACTTGATTTCACACGATTTCATCTGATTACAAATAATTTCATCTAATTGCAAAGAATTGTCTTATAAGCACGCTTAAAAATATGTGACGTTAACCCTTTGCACTTCTATGTCGAGTGTGACTCGACATCAGTTTTTATCTCAGGAGCTCCTTTGTTTTTTCAAGTCCAAACCAATAGATGAAATATACTTTGGAGTGCAAAGGGTTAAATCTCAAAGAGTTGTTAAATTTCCTCAAAACATTATATTTTTTTTATTTTACTAATAAGTATTTGCTTGTAGAGGTAATTTCAGTTAGGATTGTAGTATTCGGTTAGGTGGAAAACGTGTTTCCTCGCTTCCCCGTTGTCCCACCAGTCTAACCGTGGTCTTAACGGGAAGTAATTTTGTATTTGTATCTACTGTCTATCGTTCGAAATTTGCGTGCATCAACGTTTCAACTCACTGTTGTTCTAACAGCAACTACCTCAGTCTTATTATGAAAAGAATAATATACGCGCTTATACTCTCTAAAATTTGTGGAGTGAAAATACTCCCTTACGAAAAAGTAACGAAATAATTACTAGAAAATTACTGTACATCAGTAATTGAACTATCAGAAATTACTGATGTACAGTAATTTTCTAATAATAATTTCGGTGCTTTTCCGCAAGGGCTGCCATGGAGTGAAATGTTCACCCTATTGGCGTGAATATTTCCTCCAACAGAGTGAATATTAACTCCAATGAAGTAAACATTTCACTCCATGGCAGTATTTTCACTCCACAAATTTTAGAGAGTAGGTATGAACTATGGTATATATTTGTATATGGTATATATTTGGATATTCACTAAAAGAAGTAAATTTTTGGGGAAAATAAAAACAAGTTGAGAAAATGTTCAAATTTAATGTTTATTGCGCCCAACAAGTGAAGAAACTTGAAAATGAACACAAAACGATTACATGGGGATTTCATAGTAAGAATTTCATAATGATTTCGGAGACACTGTCCCACGATTACATCAAGTGGTTACCCCTTTGGAACTATCCAACGTTCATCTCGCTTGCCTACCCCATTTTACCGAATAAAGTAGAAATAACGTGCTGGCAACGCGAGGAATGCTTGGTGTCTCACTCGATAGTTTGGTGGACCATTACATGCGCAGTGTCTCCGCGCAATTGCGAGATTTTTTGAAACTTCGCGCACACCTAACTTCGTTAAAAAGCCTACTGTATTGCTCCGGAAAGTTATTTCAGATGAATTGCAACTGAAGCCAGCGACACACGATACTATTTTTCCCCAACTGAATTGCCTACGAGAGTCGATCAGGATTTAGCCTTAAGTCACCTGATCTAAAACTCTGCATCCTGATTGGCTCTCGTAAGCAATTTTTGAGGGTGATGTGTCGGTGTCTCCCTAAACGTTAACACGTTTTTTATCATTTTGTTAATTTAGTTTAAGCTAAACCTTTGTTTTATCAGCCCAGTCATTTGGGCGTCATCTCAAATACAGTGGTTGGATATCTGACTGCTACTCCGTGGACTCTATCGTGCACTACTTGTTCGTTGAGTTCTGTGTTCGAGGTGCAGTGTAATAACCAAGTCTGCGGATATATGTTAGCTGGATTTAATTTGAAATTGTGCAGAAAGATTGTTGAAGCCAGTAGGAAAAACAGTATCGTGTGCCGTTGGCTTTAACTGATCGTGCCAGAGTAAAGTTTTTCCGAAAAAAAAATGCCGAGGAATATATTTCTAGATTTAATTGTTGTGTGTCACGTGACAATTAATGCTCAATCAAGGGTGATTCTCGCTAGAAAAGAAGCGGAGGGAAGTCCCCTATTATGAGATAAGCTTTTACTAAGAGACAGCCGTGATTCTGCTAAATAAATAGGCATCATCTGTTGGTTCCACGACGAATTTGTTGCCCTTTGAGTGAAATCTGTCTAGCGGAAAATTTCTGGTTGCATTGTGCGTGCAATCGTTGCTAAAAAAAGATTTGTTGAATTGGCTGTTGAAAACCTGACATCTCATATTAGAAACCTATCTCATGTAGGACTTTACTCTTAATTCTCATCTTCTAACTTCGAATTCTCATAATTCTGACCCGGCAATTGCTTTTTGCCATCCGAAACATTTAATCGCATTGAGCAATGTTATTCGCACGAATCTCCGCGGCCTTGAAACAAAACGGGGGAAAAGCGAGGAAATTTCTAAACCCGTAATCATCAAACGTCGGTAAAATACAGAAAGCCGAAACACGTCGCGTTCAGGTGTTACACGTATACGCACGAGCGTATCTTCAAACACAGATACGTCTGTTGTTCGGTTCATTAGTCGCCTTCGACAGGCGACTAATTAAGATTTTTCAACGGTGTCAATAATTACGTCAAGCCGCGGCGAGCAAACAAGAGAAACGCAAATGAGCATGGTAATTACGCACAACGCGTGTATTCGTCGCGTGTGTGCTCTAGCTGAAATAATTACGAGCAATAGTGACAACAAGCAATAATAAAAGAAAATAGCCAACGGAGCAGCCACCTGGAGGCAGCTATTCGCGAGTTCACCTCGTTCAACTCGTTGTCGCGCGACTGATCAATTATAATAGACGTTCTTACGATTCTCGCGACTGGCAAACACATTGGAGAACACGTTTCCGGCGCATTGCTTGCGCGTTAACCGCGAGATCTCGAAGAGGCAGCTCCCCGACAGGGGGGAACGTCTCTCTTTTCGCGAACTGAGCCCAAAAAAAAAGCAGAACGACAAACCTCGTTGAAAATCAAGGCAAGACTTGCGAATTGTAGGACACGTATAGACAGCTCCGGCCCCCACTCGTCCACGCAGGTATGTACAATACTCACGACTGATTTGATCCGACACCAGATCCGACATAACGAATAAATCCCACCTTCGCGGTGCGCGAGGAAATGGAGGAAGGGTGTGGAAAATGGAGAGGGGAATCAGAACTCGTGACGATCTTCTGTTCTGTTAGGAGATAAGAGCGGATCGCGGCAGAGCGCTGTCTCTTTTGTGTAGCCGGCGGTTTTACATGCGTATACCTGATTGCGGAATCGCCGTGCAGGTACACGACACGTGATTGCGACACTCCCGGCTACTGTCATGCAGAAAACGGTCTCGTTGGACGTCACGCCGACGTCCAATGAACATGACGGAAGTAAAAAAGGAAGAGACATGAGAACAGTACATAGATAACGATTACGCATAAGGCTCGCTCTTAAAATACATTTATAGAAAAAACTTATCTTCGTATACCACTTTCATCCTCGATCTATTAAAAAAAAAAGGTTTGTTTGAAATGAAACAATTTTAACATTAAAATTCATAAGGCTCTGACGTGAAATCGCAATTCGAAGGAATAAAAGATGTAAGAGCCAAGACAGAACGCTAGTGTGTACATGAAATGATGAAATTTATTGCGAAAAATGTTTAATTTAATTTCTTTCTAAAGAATTTGTTTGAATTTTGACTTACTAGACTTTTCTTTAATTTCAAAGAAACGATTTCTTTGGCGAAACCAAAATTTTATTCGATTGAGGCTGGGATTTCGAAGAGAATTCATATCTACTTCCTCAAATTTAGCAAATGTTTTAGTACAAGTATATAAAAAAAATTTAGTAGATTTAAGGAAATATGATTTCAACGTATCTCATTTGTTTAACCTAACTAAATCTTTTTTCTATCCGTACCGCGACGATCTTCGGTAGCGCGCATTCAGTTGGAGAATGCGCGCTAATATTTCGATGCACTTTTCACGGCTACTTATAGGTAGTAGACGCAACAAATGCCGTACGCGTTGTAAATTAAAAGGCGCAGGTAATTCCGAATTGTAGTGTGTACGAAAGATAAGAAAAGCGCATAATGAAAACAACGAGAAGTCAATATTAGTTACGCGTAATTGCGGGCGATGCAGCAAATCGCTCTCGTTCGATAAATCATAATCGCGCCTCGTGAATTACGCGATAATACCGATTATGTTGGTCACCTGCGCATTATCTACGAAACGATAAATTTTTCTTCTGTTGCACATTTTACGCGCGCGTTATCCGACAGATATCCGAAGGTGTACATTTTTATAACAATAACTCATCATATTTGTAGGTTTTTAACTTTTAATTTAATTTCATGCTAATTGTTCGAATTTGTCAATGTTTTTTTGAATAGCTATGTTGATATAAAGTGCAACAATATTAGAATATTACGAATTTTTTGTTATTTATTTGACGATAATTGATTAAAAATTGTCCTTTTCATTTCTTTTAACTATGTGTTGCTGAAGACGACCGAGTTAGGTCGAAAAACTCGTGCAATTTTTGTAATGATTGATGAATGAACTTTAAATTTGAGGAACTTATATCTTCTTATGATTGCGAATTAACCGTTTATCTATTCATATAGTTTTTGCTTAACGACTGCCTTCCTTCTGAGAACATTTTCGTTAATGCGGTTTTACTGAAATCAAATAATTTTGAGTCTGAGAAAATAAAATGCGACAAACAAAATACTTAACGATAAATTTTTCTCGCGCTACATTTTACGTGCGCGTATTCGGCGCGCACAGAATAAAACACCAAGTAGCCAATCGCGAAAAAGAGACTTTTGTGAAGTGATTTCATTAGAAACAGATAACTGATTCTAAGAGAACGAAATACTGCACAAGCGATAAAACGGTGAGAATGTGTACGGAAAAAAAACATGAACAGAGACTACAATTGATCTCAAATAGCTTCCCGTCGAAATAATTATTCCTCCACAGAACATTTTGCTGATTACAGTCATTTCAAGCTCATTGTTCGGATCGTTCCGTAAAAAATAGTTTTTTTTCTCTAGGGAGACGTATTTGTGCACGTCGGTTGCGCTGTGACTCACATTGCCTTGAAAGCGTTGAATTTAGATGCGAAAGTGAGTTGTAAATTTTATTACAACAGCAGGACAAGAACTTTCGTTGGTTCTTACGAACTTGACGCCGTGTCGTCCCTCCTCGAAAACTGCACCCAGATAAGGCGAATGATAATAAGTCGCGGGTGTCGTGCTACCTTTGTATGGCACACTTTATATAAATATTCGTTATCTCCCTGATTACTTGCCTATCGCTCGTACGGCTCCATAGTGCACACAGCTCTACATACTGATCCTCGGCGAGCGAAGGACTCCGCGAGCTTGTTTCTCGGAAAAAAAATTATTTCTTCGCAACGTTATGCAACGTAGAGACAACTCGAGAAGTCTTCGGAAACACATCGATGGCATAATTGTAGTAGGAAATAACATTATTTAAGATACACGTAAGAGATTCGCCTAAAATTCATAATGAAATCTCCAAAATGAACAATTAAATGTTTGCGTTCCCAAAACACAATTGCCCAGAATCACCTCTTCAATTATTCACATGCGAAAAGTCGTGTCCGTTTCGTAGAAACATCTATGCATTAAAAATCTTACGTCTAGGCGCCTTACATAATAAAGAGCCGTGAGAAATCTATTACAAAACAACAGCGCGACTGTGTTAGCGCGCCACAAGTATACTAATTAGAAATTCTATGAAGACTGAAGTTCAAACTCGTTATCGACAGCCTTGATTAGTTGTCAACATTATTGGCGTCGATGTAAAATAGAAAATAACGAATAACAAGCGTCACTTGCCGAGATCCCATCGCAGCTCTCGTAGGACCTACCGGCAGCTACGATAGAATCGCGATGATAAAGTCAGGATTTATCCTTCTGCGGTTTCTAGGTTGCCGCGGGGCGGCCTCCGATCTAACGGTCAACTATTACGCAAATTGCCGTATCTCCAGTGACATCTTTCATTATGCGGAACGATGAAATTGAGGCATTATTACATTACATGTACGCGCGCGCGGTCTACCCGAGAAGAGCACGCATGATGTCATGTCCGTAGATTAGATTCACATGACAGCTCCAACAGCTTTTCGCTCTTTTGCCAAGTAGATCTGATCGTTTGTCAGTCACCGATTAATTCGGTAGAAATTAAAATGCAAAAGTGGCAATATTTTATAATTAAAGGTACGGGCTTTCTCCCGAACACCGAACAATTATTTTTATTTGTTGAAAAACTTAAGCTTGATCTTGTCTCGTCTAGTGCGTAAAATATCGCCTGTCGTTTTTACAGCATTAAAAATCATTGAGACAAATTGTGAGATTATATATAATTAATAAAAGGAGAGAGAGAAACCTTTCGTCTTAAGGAGAATATTGATGGTCGATGGGTTGCGCGTGACTATGCGTTATCTCTGATAATGCGACGGAAATGATCGATTATTGTAAGAGTACGAAACATACGTAGCACAAAATATTTGACATTGTAAAAACTACAGATAATATTATCACGCGCGGTGATTCATTCGATACAGCGATAATTCGTGAATGTCGATCTGGCAATTATGAATATGAAAGATATGCTAATGTATGTAAAATGAATGTCACTCGTCAATTTCACGTCAGAAATCGCGAATAAGTAAGTAATTCACCCAATCACTCAATTAAGGCCTTCAAAACTGGAAGGAAAGAAATTAAATACAAAAGTTCTTCGTTCTTCAATTTTTTGCAATTTTCTTTTAATTTATATTATAAATCACCGAAGTCTTCTAACAACAATTTAAGGTATATCAACGTTGGAATAATACTTTGGAAAAAAAATCCCGAGTGTTATCAGAGAGAGTTTTGCGAAGGTGCTATCGTCGGCCGAATATTTCAGAGGTATAGCAGAAATAAATCTTTCTCACAATGCTCGCGTCTATTAAGCGGTAATAATGGCAAATTAAAAACATATTAGTAATGCCGGGTCTCATTACGATTGCGTGACATCCCATACGAACGGGTCTTCAACTAACCGTACTAGGCTCTACAGCGCCTAAATTAGTACCTACGATTCAGGCTCGTCCACTCGATGTTAACCCGATGGATAAATACGAATTTCAAATAATAATTACATACGTTCTAGTTATCATGGCTTTCAGTAATGACACAAGAATATTGAATCTAATACGTATGTGCACTTATAGTGCTTATACACTTGCATAAATAATAATTATAGATTTCTAGAGGTCTAAATGGCATGCGCGTGCGCGTACCAGAGGGAGGGAGAGGGAGGGAGAGGGAAGGAGAGAGAGAGAGAGAGAGAGAGAGAGAGAGAGAGAGAGAGAGAGAGAGAGAGAGGAGGGAGGGAGCTGCTCGAGTTCAATGAGTGAAAAAGTTTATGAAAAATTAAAGTGACTTTTTTCCTGTGCCACTTGAAACACTTTCTTAAAACATTCAATTTGAAACTGATAGTTGATTCAACTACTGGAGAATTAATAACTGACTCATCTTTTTAACTTAAATCGCTTTCGAGACAAAAACGATAAGAATTTCCACAATTATACTTGACTTTTGACAAGGTAAAGCAGTGACTAGTTCCTATGAGTATTTTAAGCCCACCTTGTATATAATTTGTAGTTTCCCAGCTGCCGCGAGATGGCAGTACATTCTCACGTGTAGAATATCATAGTCAGCGTATATAAGGCCGAGCGAGCAAGCACGTTTATCCTTGTCTTTGGGGAGCAAAGTGCTCAATGATCGTTTAGTGAGAGCACTGTTGCTGAAAACCCATAAGAAAATATTTTACCGCATCCATAAGTATCCAGATTATGAGATGCAATTTTTGGAGGCCTCTTTACTTCACAAGAGGCTTTTTTTATCAGTATGTGCAATACAAATTGCCACTTGCTCAATCTTATCGCGCATTAACTGGACATTTGGATATCAATTTTCGACATTGTTTGTTGCTACCGTTCATTAATTTTTGAACGACAAAATTGTTCTGTAGCGCCTTGCTCAAAACGTATTTCGTCAAAAGCTTCCCACGTTCAAAGTTTT